GTCTGTCCTTGGGGGCTGTGCCACTTGCCTGACAGGGTGGCCTCAAGTTGGTCAGACCTGGGTTTGAAGTTCATTCCTGCTACCCATGTGACTGGCAAATTATTGAGTCTCTATGAGTCTCTATGTTTCTGAGCCTCCGTTTCCTAATCTGTAAAATGGGGGTCATACCACCTGCCTCCTAAGGTTCTTGTGAGACTAAATGAGGTACATAACCATGTGAGTACCCAGAGCTGTGCCTGACACATAGGGGCTCAGGACTTGTGAGCTCCCCTCCCCAGTGTGGACACAGATCCTGTCATCAGGCTGTGCGTCCGGGGACATGCAGCAGACATCTGGGCCCCGGCCATGTTCCAGGAATGGCATGGGAATGGTGTTTGTGTGCCAGCACTTGATGCTCTTGCCGGCTGCTTGATCGGACCTGTTGCTTCTTTTCACCTGCCACTCCTGATGACTCAGAGATGGTTCTCTCCATTTTTCACTTGAGGAAACCAAAATTCACTAACATGAGGTGAAAGTTAGTTGCCCAAGCTCCCCTGGGGGGTTGGAGGCCAGGTTGGACCCTCAGCCGCTCCGACCAGGGTGCTGGCAGCAACAGGGAGCCCACTGACATGCTGCGGGGCTATGGGTCCTGCTCGCCGCTCCACCCCGAGAGCCGCACCTGCTCCCCTCGGTGTCCTCACTTCTCACCCTCCTCCCAACGCAAGAGCCACAGCCCTCTGAGCCAGGTTGATTCCACAGGTTGCCCCTCAGGCTACTGTGTGAGAGCATGAAGAGGCAGATCGCCTCCCGGGCCTTCTACGGCTGTGAGTGTGGGGTGAGGTGGGGCCATGGGAGGCAGGGGCAGGGGGAGGCGTCCTGGTCACGGCCTCCTGGCTCACCCCTCCACCCCCAGGGCTGGCATACTGCCGCCACCTGTCCACGGTGCGGACCCACCTGTCAGCGCTGGTGCATCACAACATCATCCCGCCCGCCCGCCCCCCAGGGGCCTCAGGGGGCCTCACCAAGGACGTGTGGAGCAAGTATCAGAAGGATGAAAAGGTGCACACTCGGGGGGCCAGGGCCAGGGCCAGGTCAGGGGCGGGGGGCGGGCAGCGGTGGGTGCAGAGTGTCTGCTCTGGGCGCAGCTGTCACAGGACAACTGGGCATTCAGGTGAATCACAGTCGTGGTCGGGCTGACAGGCCAAGACCGATGGCCTTGGAGTGGCCAGGTCATGGCGGAATCTCAGACAGCGGGGGCTGTGGGTTTCCCTGGGAAGGGCACTGGGCTGGAGTCCGTTCTGCTTCCCCATTACCCCACAGCCTTGGGCAAATCTCTGCACCTCTCTGGGCTTCGTTTCTTCCCTGGAAGGAGCGGGGTGAAGTAGGTCCCAGCCAGCTCTCATGTGGGGCGGGGGATGTGACTGCCAACGCAGGGTCTCCCTGGGCTTCAGTGGTGACCGAGCCAGTTCCCAGCCCCAGCTCTCCCTGGGGTGGGTCACCCGGAGGGTGACGGCGGGGGCTGCACAGTCTCCCCTCCCTGGGCCCCTCAGAACTACAAGGAGCTGGAGCTGCTGCGGCAGGTTTACTACGGAGGCGTGGAGCACGAGGTCCGCAAGGACGTCTGGCCCTTCCTGCTTGGCCACTACACGTTTGGCATGAGCAAGAAGGAGATGGAGCAGGTAAGGGGAGCTCTTTCCCCGGGGCAGGGGGACGGGGAGTCGGGCCAAGGGACCCATCCAAGCTCAGTGGAAAGAAACGTGTCAGGGGAGGGTTCACAGAGACACCCCACATGTCCTCGCTGCTGGGGCCCAGCCTCGTCTTCAGCTGTCCC